AAAGGGATTTCTATACGGATTCGTACAAGTGTGGTAAAAGGTTATGTCCCGTCCTGCAAAATGGGATGCGGAGATTGGGTTCACCTGGACCCCAAGAAACCAACCTGGTTAAGGCTCCGTAAGATGATTTGCTTGTAAAAGTCCTTACAAAGGTAGATTTTTTCGGGGGTTTGGGTAGAGCTTGTTTCAAGAGCTTATGTTGATGCGGTTCTCGCCCGCACGTATTTTAGGTTCGGGGTTCAGGGTCTTAAGTTGCGAGCTGAGACTGCAGATGTCTCACAGGGCCGCTTGGGGTTTAGGGAAGTTGGGACCTAACGTTCCATAGCCTTGAGTAGCACATCATAGAATATGGGTTTCAAACCCTTATCCCCGAAGCTTCTTAACCGTACTGCCGAAAGTCCGAAAATTAAAGGAAACTGCAGGTGGGGAGTTTAGGGTATATAGGGCTTCTATAAGGCTTCTGTAAGGTATATAGACCTTCTATAAGGCTCCGATAATGAACATGTCCTAGAGAAGGAGCAGCTTGCGACTAAAACTCGTGCGCTACCTCAACTTCGTCTTCTTCCGAGGCTACCATCGGAAACCTTCACTGAAGGCTTCTATGGTTTAGGGTCTGGGGTACAGTATACTTTCAGCCTATTGAGGCACTCAGCACCCGGAATAGCATTACTACTGTTGATGGGCAAAATCCTGCATGACCCAAATATAGTATAGTACCATAAATCCCATAGTTTAGGTCCATAAGGTCATGCAGGATTTTGTCCATCAGCCGTAGTTCTTCAGGCTCCTTTTTGTTGTTGTTAGTCTTTCGGGACTGCGGAGGCTCAGAGGTCGAGCTGTACTAAGTAACGGGGGACGCCGGCTTTTCGCCAACCCAAAACCCTGCGGTGACAAAGAACGTAATATCCCTGTTAGGGTTTAGGGTTTAGGGTTTAGGGTTTAGGGTTTAGGGTCCTCGCATGATCATACGATACTAGGGCTATGCCGGACCCTAAACCCTAGACCCCCAAACCCCTAAACCCTAAACCCCATGAACAACCCCTAAACCCTAAACCGGGTTCCCCACCGTCCACATTCCAAATGTCAGCTATCCACTCCACGCGGTCGTAGAGGAGCAGAAGCAGAGGAGGTTGGGATCCGTGCCTGGCTTTATAATTTATGACAAACGGGGCCTTAATAATTTGAGCGAAAACTTGGAAACGGAACACTAAGGAATTGTATTGATAAATCCTCACTCTTCTGTATAGCCTAGGCCAGAGATGTTGTTCAAGGAAACCTAAACCCTAAACCCTAAACCCTAAACCCTAAGCAGGTGAAATCCACAAGCCCTAAGCCCCAACGGCCAGCCACCAACCTCACAGCCACAGGTCCAAAGTGGCGAAACCTTGGGCCAATAAAGCAACATCATTATATACATATAGAGGTATTTATTCTTATTATTATTAGTACTATTATTAAGATAACATCATGTAGACTTGTGGCATATGATCCGTCTCCCATGCCAGGGATATAAAAGGAAGACGAGATGATAAGTCTTAAACTAGGGGAGTCTATCGATCCGGCAGCTCAAACTCCAAAGCCAAACCCGAGGCAGTGAGGCCTCAGGAAGGGACGGGGAGGTCAAGTATCAAGGGTCTCCATGAAGGAGGGGTCATTGTTTGGAGATGCTCTTTGAGAATCATGCGAAGTCTGTTTGGAGGTCTATTTGGGGATTGGGACTCAAGGTTCATCTAAGGTGTATTTCGGGCTGAGGTTTCCGCCCAGTGAGAGGCCTGATGCTAACCCAAGCCCTAATTTGAAAAACCATAAATCCTCAATCTACTGGAAACTGAAACCTAAACCCTTCAACCCTAAACCCCTAAACCCTGAACTCAAAAGTTCAGTGAAGTCCACCAGTCTCAAGCAAACGTCTCTAGCCCTCAACCTGAAGCCATTGCTATCAAGACACGCCCTAAACATGAAGCATAAAAGACCTACCTTAACCCTGAACGCTAAACACCCTTCTACAGAGGTTTGACTCGAATCATTATGAACCATAGTGATATCCCCTCATGATCCCCTCGACTTACACCGCTATAGCCTACACTAACCGCCAAGCCCTGCGAGAAAGGTCTAAACAAATCTCGATGACCCCCAAACCCCCCAAAACCCCACACCCTAAACCCTAAACCCTAAACCCAAAACCTAAACCCTCAACGCGTGAAGGCCTCCAGAGATCCCGATTTTTGTTGCGCCGAGCCCAGGCCAGGACTTCGCCAGTCACGTTGTGCTCTGCCTTGTTTGGGTTGAACTATTTTTTGACTTTAGGGTTTAGGGTTTAGTTTTTTGAGCTTAGGGTTTAGGGTTTAGTTTTTTGAGTTTAGGGTTTAAGGTTTTTGTTGAATAACTTTGGGTTGAGGGCTTACGGTTTAGGGTTCAGCAGCTCCAAACCGAGCAGTTTCTAGTCGAGCTCGCTGTTGTGATTCCAGAAAAATACCCACTCACCCACCCACCCACCCACCCACCCACCCACCCACAAACCCTAAAACCTAAACCCTAAGCCCTAAGCCCACCCAGGAACCCCCAACATGAGGAAACCACTTTTTTCTTAATCCAGAAGAGCCCGAGAGCAGAGGCTTGACACGCTAATCAGGGGGCCAAAAAACCTCATCGTTTCCCCCGGGTATTAAAACCCCCCTCCCCCCCAAAAAAATTTTTTTTAAAAAAAGGACTTATTTCCTGGGGTTTGGGTTTTTAATTAAGGGGTTTCGGCACATCCGGCTTACAGCAGCAGAGTAGCCCTTAGTCCCTATGCTACAGCCCCAGAACAGCCCTTAAACCCTATGATACAGCCCCAGACTGGCCCTTAAACCCTATGATACGGCCTAGCCCTTAAAACCACCCATGATGCAACCCCCGACTAGCCCTTAAACCCTACGATACAGCCCCAGAGTAGACTTTAAACTTAAACCCTATGATACAGCCCCGCCCATCGCAGTTGCTGGCGAAAGTGCCGAAAGCGCAATTGTCCAACCAAGGGCCCGGACTCGTTGGAATACGGCGATATCGAAATTTCGTTAGGGTGTTCAGGGCTCTAAATTGGGATTTTTCATCGGCTCTATATCTTAACCCCCTGAACGGGTTTCGGGTTACATAGGTGTGGTGCAAAGCTCACCGGGTCACTTGGAGCGCTTCGAAAAGTGTAGGGTTTAGGGTGCAGGGGTTTATGGTTTGGATTCTACTAGCCACTGGCAACAATAATCATAGCAATAATCTCCACCAGTAACTATGCTAGAGACTACATGACTAAATCTGCACACAGTGGTACTTTTCAGTAAAGCACGGCACAACAGTAACAGGTTGCAGGAATTCGCGGCCGTCGATTACGGTAGCCCTTACAGTAGTTGTTTAACTAAGAAGTAATCCTACCCTAAACCCGAAACCCTAAACCCTGTGACTGAGGCGCCGCGCTTTCC